CAAATACTGCTCGATGTAAACGTGTGTTCAGTATATTTCTATATGTCTATTTATAGAAAATAATAAATAAAATTAAATTGATGTAGCCTTAGTCCGTTCCCTCACCCTACCACATGCACACTTTCCTACCCTTTCCATCCATTCTTCCGTTTCACGTGCGTCGATTGTGCCCGAGAGTCGAGTTTCCCTACAATGTGGCGACCAACGACAATCGTGCTTTCAGAAGAACACAAAAGACTCGACTGACGCACGTTCGTCATCCCGGCCTGCCCTCTCTCCTGCCAGGACGCAGACAGTCTGAAAGGTCACCAAACGTTTGTTATTTCCAAACAATAATTTGAATTGAAAACATCGAAAATATTTGTATTTAATAAGATTCCATATTTATAGAATTCTATGGTCACAGGGGAAAAGTTCTTAACACAATTTTTGGCAAAATTGGCTTAAAAACTACAAGTTAAGAATCTATATTTTATTTTTAAAAATGACCAAATTCAAATGCTACCTCCTTAATGACAAAAAAGTGTTGGGAAATATAGCTTTAAACTTCTCATCAATAGCGGTTCAATACTCTAACCCTTCTTTTCTCCAAAATAAGATTTTTGACTTAAGAACTTTTACCCCGTGACCACAGATTTATCGGCTCGTTTTCCTTTTCGTACCTTACATGAAGGAGCAAATGAAATGATTACGTCAAGAAAATGAAACGACAAGCATAATATTCAATATGAAATGGTTTCAATATGAAAAAAAACTTTTAAAGCCCAGTTAGACTTCGCTCCGACTGTCAAAGTAAGAAGGCGACTTCGGTTAGAAATTCATTCTCCGGAATAAACATAATACACATCTACACTGTGCAACGCATGATTTCAACGTAGTCAATGTCAAAATATTTTGGTGTCCGTTCACTTGGCGCTCCGCTCTGATTCTCCAATCTCGCCGCATGCAGAATGGTTTCGTTCGTGGGATACATTAAGAAATTAGAGCGCAAATTTTAATTAGTTAACTATATCGAATACTACTGAATGAATTTTAATACTACATATTAAAATGGAATATTTACAAACATTTCATGATATGGCACAATGGAGTGATACATAAAGTACTTGATTGAATGATGAGATGAGGTGAATGTTGCACATGATAGTTATAAATAAACAAAGCCTTTAAAACAAATTCGTGTCTCTATCTATTTTCGTATAGTTTTTAGCTGATTTTCTCGGTAAGACGTGTTAAATTGATAGTTTTAACTTTGTACAATTTTTCTCATTTTCACAGATGATTCACATTTTTTTCATTCTCTGCAGTATCTTCTTGTACGTACGTATATGTAATGTATCTGCATAAATTACACAACATTTAAAAATATATTTTTATTGAACTTAATTCAGATGAATGGTTAAGAACCGAAAAATAACCAACAAGCTTTATTATACAATAATTCAAGAAGCAGCATTCATTCAGATTTAATTTCTGATAAACAAGCGATCCAACCAACGGCCCTCGCCATGTTGCCAACCATCCATCCATCCCTCCGCATGACGTCTCCGATCACCTTCCCTCAGCCTCTTTGCCCTTTCCTGCCATGCCGCCCTCCATCTGCCTCCCCCCCCCCCTCGGCCACTTAGTTCCGAACGTCCTCGACCCTTCCACGTAACTTATTTTGGTGAGCGGCTTGGACGTCGGCAGCAGGTCTCTGCCAGTCACGTGGCTCCACATGCGCACACTAACCAACAAAAGGCTGTGGGAGAATGGTCGCGCAAATTTCCCAGAGCTAACTCCTACAATCAAACTGTTCTGTTATTGTTTTGCCTGGGTCTAGTGATGGCAAAATTTAGCAAAACTTCCATACATCTATACTTCGATAGATCACCAGACGGTTTTCGATTTCAATGAAAACATAGACAAAAGAAATCGATGATTCAAATATGATCAAACATTTCGAAGTAAAAGCAAGTCCCTGCGTTACCAAGAGCAAACGTGTTGAAAATACAGGTTTTATTTTCGAATTTCCAGTAACAAGAGATCTGAGAACATTGGAACATCTAGCAAATGCACTATGCATTCTTGCACTAACAAACAGGAAAAAAATGTTTAATAGAAAATCAAAAAGAGAAAACTAAATAGAAGATATGCTTCTCTATCTTGACAAGAGCAAGACGATAAAATATGTAATAGGTTTTTGGAATTGTGAACTTCTTGTTAAATTCTATATTTTTATAGGCAGATATCATATTACGCTCGGCAAGGTACTTTCTTTTTGATTTCAAGATATATTCGTTTTGTGTGATTCTATCCGAAATTCTCTGAGAATTGAAATTCTGATTCGTTCATGTTGCTCACTATGTCTCTCCAGAGTACGAGATAAAAGAAGAAGCCACTAAGCTGCAAAACGTGAAAAGGATTTCGAGGAGTACTCCTGCTGAAAGGAGGCATTGCATTTACTATCTTATCAGCTGTAAAGCTAAGCATGTGGGGCGTGCAATAACAGCGCAATTCCGAACATGTGGCCATAAGCAATATATTTACATACTTTGCCCCATCGTAATACAGTTTAAGCAGAGTGCTGCCCAAGAGTTCGAGGTGAACAAAACGACTTGCTATGATTGTTCGTGAAAATATCCCTAATTAATTTCATAATATCATTTCCACTTATAAACAACATTTAAAAAGTATCTTGTTCGCTAAGCACATCTCTCAGCGCTCTGAGGTTACTAGGAACTGCCCATTGCCATGGTCATTCGTGAAAAGGAATTCTTCGAATTGCTTGATAATTTGACTAATTATTGTTGAAAACAAAAACAAGATGGGAAAACGTTGCGTCCACAATCTTGCTGGAATATGCAGGTTAATAATGTTTTGTCTTTTCTGTACCCTCTAATATGGAAAAAGGTACTGAAAAGTAGGAGTCACGCCAGAACGGGTTTGGATGAACGTGCAGTGGAAACGGACCTCGAGGGGCGTTGAACATACACACACATTTACGTTCCAATTGAACAGTGTTATAAATGAAAACACAGTAAAGTTTATAATATTTTTCAACGCCATTCTTTACATCACCAAAGCGTATTACTTTATTACCTTCTTGGCTATTTGAGAGACGCCGCGTGCTAAGCGTAGATGCCTACGTGCATTCGCACTGAAGAAGGTCGCAAAATAATGGCCGAAACGACTTCCGGCGGTCTGAAATACGAATGACTCCGGCTGCAGGAAACCATGTTATCAGATTAATTTATAATTCTTTAATATTTCTAAATATGAGTCATTTGATATTCTTAAAGTTATGGCTTTTGCTTCGATGAAAAATATTTCCCCAAAAAATGTACAGATCATACATTACAAAAAAAATGTAGTTTGTCAGAAAGAAAAAGAAATGTCTGTTTTACAGTAGTGTGAATTTCGTGATTGAACTATAATTTTTGGATTGCCATATTTTAGGGAACGTTTTCCTCCAGCATTCGCCTGGTATGGATAGGAGAAATCACTGGAAATCGGAAATGTCTAACAGACCGGCCGGCCCCTAGAATTCTCCTTCAAACACTGGTTGAGTTCGACATAGCTAAATAACTAGTTGCAAATCCGCTGCCGTAAGACCACCAAACCCTCTGATTCCCTTGTCAAAGTCGCTGCAGAGGCAGTAGCAATGCTCTCTCTGAGCTACACTCAGTCGGTGCTGTTCACTTCGAAATAAGCATGCGTACGTTTATATATAAGCCCTGTATGTCTCAGATGGCTAAGATCGTGTACAGCCTCAGCGCTTTGGCCCGAAGGGTCGCGGGTTCGAGTCCCGTCTTGGGCATGGTTGTTTGTCCCTTATCAGTCATATAGTATTTGTTGTGGAGGATCTCTCGTTCTGTTGACCCCATATCAGAGAAGCCTGAAAGTGTGTTGTATAATGTATGGTCCCAAAGCGCTAGGGGAAAACGATTACATATTGGGCCATGCATTTTGAAGAGAGCGGGAGAGAGACACGCCCCCTCAACGAACGCGTGATCCGCGCCCAGCGCGCGCGTGGGGGTGAGGGGCAGCCGAGCGCACGGCTGCCGTCAACAGGCGGGGCGCAATCTACCAAGCCAGAGGCATATGCCGCGTTTGTTTTCAAAGGAAGGTGCTGGGCGGGGCTGCCCGTGACGGCAGCACAAGGCGTGGTGCTAGCGGTAGAGGAAGAAATCGCCAGAGAGAGCGGTACGAAAATGAAGGATAGCCAAATTGGAACCGGGATGTAAAACAAAATCACAATATCATGCGGAAATGTCAAAAACAAAATTCTTCATGTACGAAATACCATTTTCACAGTTACAAACAATGTATGTAATGTTTATTTAAATTAAATAAAATATCATCGACATACAATTTTCTCTAAGAACGGAAACCGCTTCCGATCAACAGTTTTTACTCATTAAATAATAAACTCGACAGTTTGAAAATTGTGCTGAAATGCATTTGCATTTTAAAAGGTTCAACTGAAGTATAACAAACTGTGTACTGTATATCAAACAATACAAATAACAATTTCAGCTATCCATTTCATTTTGTTCATTGTTTTTGCAAAAGAAGTATGTATCTTAATACTGACCTCTGTCACACTCACGTGTAATCAGTGGCGGAAATACTGAGTTTAAGAAAAAGTGCAGAAAATTATGTTTATAAGATAATACAAGTCTTATATAGAAAACAATTATAAATATAATAAAAATAATTTCTGGCACTGTAAACGATAATAATATGAAGAGTTATATATTGTATAATTAATGTAAGTGATTGAAAAGAAAATTGGGCACAAACAGACACAAATGTGAGGCTCTTGTTACTAATTAAATATATACATTTTAAGAAGGAAATTATGTAATTTAATTTAAATTTTAACAAGAAAAATGGAATAACACACTTGTTGCAGAAGCGAAGTGTAATGTGTAGTGCAAAGTTTCTCTTAATATGAGAAATTATTTTCTCGCCATAAAACATAAACAGTTTGTTTGCGTGCTCGAAGAATATGGCTGATGTACCGACATCCCTGCTTATTCGAAATATCTCTGGGCCGGGATTTGGACCACGAGCGGAAGAAAGAAGAACGTGGGTCCCTTTGTCGGGGACGAGCGAAGGAGCACTCGAGTGCAGCAAACGGAAGCGGCAGGGCAGCAGAGACGTGGAGACGGCCTCTGCGCGCCCAGCGCGGGGCTCGAATGGCAGAAACAAACGAGCGCGGTGGCGCGCACCGACCGCGAATCGGAGGACGCGGGCTTGCGAGCGCCGCGGGGCGGAAGCGCGAAGGGCGACGCGGAACAGCGGTGTGCGCAGGCGGAAGCCCTGAGCCACGGCGCGGCGGCGCGGGCGGGGGCCGCGGAGCCTTTGGCGGCGAAGGGTGAGAGGCGGGTGGTCAAAGCGAAGATGGCGGTAGCATGAGGCTGACAGGGAGGGATGGTGGCGGAGCAGGGCGGCGACGCAAGGGGCGGAAGGGATAATGGAGGCGGCGGGGGTAGAAGGGGCGGTGGCAATGGCGGGGCGATGGAAACGGCGGTGGGTACAACAGTAGTGGGGCTGGGTGTTGCGCGGTCGCGAGGTGTGTGGGGGCGGCGGAGGCGGGGGCGGGGGTGAGCGATGCGGGAGGATGGCGGGGGCGTGCCGCTCTCTGCCCGCGGCGGCGGCGCCTGCGACCACGCCTACCGCACGGGGATCGTTAGAGGGCGCCGCCCCGCCCTCGCCCGCGAGGTGGCGCGTGCGGTGGCCCGCGGCCCGAGCCCCGGGCGGAGAGGGCGGCGGCGAGGGCGCGGCGTCCTTCCGCATTACGAGGGGCCGGAGCGGGCAAGCTCAACGAGGAGGGCATATTTCACGCTAATGCTACTCTTCTATCCACTTCCCTGTCCTTACTCGCATCAGATTCCAAATCCAATTGGATATCGCGGCTCAATAAAGAAGAGAAGATGCGTTTCAAAGCAAATTGGTGGAGCTGATACTTCCGGGGAATGCATTCACTGAAATCCCGCTCTTGGGTGAAATATTCATTTATTAAGTGACGAAACCAAGAACAAATAAAAAACAAGGCATTTCAAAGTTTCATTAACTTTTGCAATAAACATCTGGATCATCTCGACAGATACACACGAATTTAAACACAATACAATTAATATTTTATGTAATGTAGACGTTTATTTGAAAAACATGATAATTCTTCGACTTGTTAAAGATTTTACCTGTAGTGCCATGTTACCCAAAAAGTTTGCTGATCTGTAAATTATGTAGGCGTGTAGTAATATCAACCAGCAGTTACTTGCTAAAAGAACGACCAAAAACATAGAGATCTTAAATGAGAGCTTTGGTAGATAACACAGGCTTGTAATTTTCATCTTTTTAAGTGAGAATGATATTGAACCGATATCTAAATTTCATTTTTATGTGATGAATCCGTATCCGCCAAAAATTGTGTAACGACTGATTTTTGCTTTCCCTCGATGATAATTAATGGAGAAAAGTTATTGAAGTTGGTCCAAAAAATCGAGATCAATATTTCAGTCGTAAAATCTACGTTGTGTTGAGAGGAAAAAGGTGGATATTACCATGAGGGTTTATGAATTAGTGAATCAAAGGCCTTTTTTTCTGTCATCAAATGTTGGGAATAACAACGCCTTTTATTCACTTCTTCGATTTTACGTAGCCTAAGGATCGCACCAAATCTCGCAAGCAATCTTACCTCCTCTTTCTTCTCCCTTCACAAGTCTGGGTGTCAGTGATCACACTAGTTAAAGCGCGAATCAAACTAAAACAACAACGAATCAAGTACATTCAATGAATGTAAAGAGGTCTATTGGTTTTCTATTGTTTGTGTAAAAGACACTCTCCTCCCGGCTTGTGCATCAAAAGGAGAGTTGAAACTCAGACCAGCACCGCAAAAAATGTCAAGATATTGAATTAAAAATGTTCATTTGCTGAGTGCAGACAACTTCAGATATTAAAAATGTAGTAAAGTCTTAAAAATAATTTAAGAAATAATAAACAATTATATCATCGAGCGATATTCGATTGTTGCTTCAAAGAATAATTGGTGTAGCATATAATTTTAGAGAGGACTTTCTCTTCATTTTTGACCTACCTGAAATGATCTCTTTCTACAGTGTACATTTGTTTTATAATTATGTAATGTTCTCCGATCGTATGTGTACTCCAATAGTTTTACTGTTACCATAGAAGGTAAACGCAAAGAAAATAATACATTAAAACTTCGTAACACAAATTTTGAGGGTGCTGATGATATACGAATTTTGAATTATCGAATTACTATTATTATTATTATTATTATTATTATACATATCCTATTACGATGTTTCCTTGTGGAGACCAAAAATGTCTTTGCGTTAGGGAGATTTTCGTTTTAAGCGAGTTTGTGCTAACGAGAGTTTACTGTATACATATGTCTTTACCGCTTTGCCTCTATATCACGAAACAGTTTACACAAGAAAACTAATCATATTTATATTTTCGAAGAACTAACACATGTAAGGTTCCAATACTGAAAATAAGTAAAAGTCTGAACGAACGGCGCTAAATTCGCTGCTCTTCTGTTTTTAGGGTTCCACATGGCGCCGAAGCTGAGCAAGATCTTCCCAGAGTCGTGCCTACTAATTGTGGTGGGCGTGGTCATCGGCGTTCTGCTTAACCACGTGGGCCATGTGAACATGCAGCCCCTCACTCCAGACACCTTCTTCCTCTACATGTTGCCACCCATTATCCTAGACGCTGGGTACTTCATGCCCAACAGATTGTTCTTTGACCACCTTGGAACCATCCTCTTGTTTGCTGTGATCGGGACTGTTTGGAACACTGTCACCATTGGTAAGTTGGAATTTAAAATTTTTAACGTTTACACTACTTTTAAAGGATGTTTTTGTTTAAAATCACCAATTTAATATTCAACTCATGAGGTTAATCGATTCCTCCGTTAAGTAGAAAATACAGAAATTACTTGTAGCAGTTACTAAAACAAATTTTACTGTAAATCACTAGGAAAATAATTTTTAGACTGAATCATTCTAGATAATTACGACGAAGTTCTGATTTTATAATTACGTTTTACAAATTTCAAGAAAATTATTCAATTCTTAATTATGTACATTGATTATTTCTTGGTAACATCAACGGAGGTTTTTAATTAGGTCGCTGTTAGTCTTTATATACTTTCTTCATTTCCGCATTTTTTCGTCTTACGTAACTTGAATAAAAGGTATAATTAAATTCAACTACGCTCTAATGCATTAATGCTCTAATGCATCTCTGTTCCTCCTTTTTTACATGGGATTTTAGAAATTTCCGAATTTAGGTCTTCTTTGAGAATTCTGTTAAGGGCAAAAGATCAAATATACTTCATCATTTGATTAAATAAATATTGATGGGTGATTCCGGGCGCGTCAACTGCTAAGGTCATTAGTCCCGTGAGTGCAATGCGCTTTTTTATCACGGGATGTGGCAGTGATCTTCCCCTGCTGGCTGGTGAGATCCAGCCACGACTTAGGCCTGCTTCAGGGGATTTTCCCTATCCAGGTATCTCTCACCAGCGTCACACTGCCCGAGCCGGGGCAATCCCCAAGCTCTCGATTGTACTACCCACATGTCTGGTAATGTAGGGCAATAGTGCCAGTGTGCGTAAGTAAGAGGGTAGGAAAGGACAAGGAAGAGGAAGGTAAGATCGCGCGCGGACCGTGGCCCGTTTGTTAGGGTAGTTCTCCGGCATTCTCTTGGTGTTGATAGGAGAACCCACAAATAAATACCGATCAGTGCAGCCAGTCGCTAGAATTCTCCCCCAGACAGCGGCTGAATGCAACCTAGCCGACAACTCGCTCTCGACCAAGGTAACTCAAAAATCCCACTACTGTCGGAACTCGAACCCTATGCCCTCCCCCCGTTTAGAGGCACTGTAGTGACATCAGTTGATGTCCAGAGCTACGTTTGCCGGTTGGAATAAAAATTAAGATTTGGTGACATTTTCAAAGAAAACACAACAATCACTTTCTCCTGTTCTTTCTGTCTGTCTGTCTCTCTCCTCTCTCTTCCCTCTGCACTCGCTCTTCTCGCTTCTATCTCTCGTCTGTCTCTTGTTTATTTGTTCATAATACCTCGATGAAGCAATATTCGCCACAGTCGCGTTAAATCAAGATTTGATGATAATTCATCACGAACAGTTCGAGATGGGCAAGCCCGAAATGTAGAATATTTATAATTTGCTACACCCTTCTACCGCGTTTCAATTTCCTGCAACGCTGACCTCTTATTTCCGTCACTGCGTCATTTTAATTTAATATCGAATTCATTCGGTTTAATTTAGTTTCACATCACCAACCAGAGGTATGGGGATGTATTAGTAGGCCCTTCGTCATTATAGCAGTAACATTCACTCTTCCAAGTTTCGCAGTGCATGTCAAAGTAACTAAATCAAGAAATTGTTGACGAAATCTGTATATTTACAGCATGTTTCACATTTGTTTTTATCAAAATGTATGTGTATTGTCGAAATAAATGTGATAAATTATCTCACAATTACCTTTCTCAATGTATTTTGATTATTTTTCACTCTGGAACAAATGGGCAAAATTAAATAATTGTTAATTCTATGCTGTTTAATGAAAGAGGTCTTTGATGAAAAGTGATCTTACATTCACTTCTTTGAATTTAATCAACAAAATTTTCTATCCTCCATCCTCCACACTTAAACTAAGATTATATGGTCTGATGCCTCAGCAAATTTTCAGTAGAAAGAATAAAACTTGTACGTTTAGTGCCCATGTTGTCAGTTATTTCAGCAATATCATGTTGATATTTTAGGTGCAATAATCTCCGTCACTTTCAACCTTCCTTCTGGCATTTACTGTTTGCGGTTTTTACATCGACTTCGCTGATCAACTGCGAGAGCTCAGCGACGTTTCCCTGCAGCGTTATTAATCTCTGGTTTGCGCCCCGTCGGTGGCAAATTTTACATAATGAATAACTGGGTCGAAGTCATCGTGGGTGAAGGGTAATTCTATCAGTTGACTGTTCTGATAGTAGTTTTTAGCTCGTGCTCCGATAATTGCCAGGCGAAAGCCAATCCAGAACTCTATCAGTGAAACAAGGATCGCGCACGATTTTTCCTTCCTCATCCTCTCTCCCCTTACACACACATACACACACCTACACGGGCTTACACATAAACTTACAACAAACCACCAGACAGTAGCTTGTTGCGGCTGGAGCGGTGGCCCAGAAGAGGAGATAAATCGGGGAGAGGAAAAAACCCGCAAGCTGAGGTGAAGATCGGCCCTGAATCTTACATTCGAGAGGGCAAGGAACACCTCCTCCTCTAGGAATACAAAATTTACTTCACTTGTGGCACAAATGACCTCAGTGAGTAATCAACCCGAAATCCTTGCTCACTCCCTCTAGCGATGTCCGTAGCGAAGGTGCTTGAAGTAGCGCCCCGGGGCGGGCCAAGACCTCGGCTCCCTGGCAACAGGTTCAATCTCGCGAATAGTGAGACTGGCATGAATGGAGAGAGGCATGCAAGTGTTAATGGTATGAATGGTTTTTTACACCACCATGAAATCCATCTGGACCATCATCCAGTTCCAATCATTCTTCTCTCAACATTTACCTCTCATAATGACACCTTCCCCCGTATATATAGCGAAGGCAAGTACAAACCACCACCGTGTGAGCACGTACGTGGAAAAAGTATCTAATAAAGACGCAAATCTCCTCCCACCCTATTCTCACAAATGATAATTGTAATCCTCAATATCACGCTTCCGTACCGTGAGCTCACTTGACCTATTGCCCCACGCGCAGTACACATCTCCTCTTTGTCGTGGTCACCAGCCTCAGTTCTATAAAGATTAAAACGAAGGGCGAATTGTCTTGATGAACTGGGACGTGGTTATCCAATCGGGAGTCTTAATATCAAAAATTAAGTTGTAAAGAATCTCCCGATTGGATAACCGCGACCCAACTGACCGCTCACAACTCGCCGTACGTTTTAATCGTCATTTAATGGCAACGGTCGTTCTTTACCTGCCCAGTGCCTCACCAGAGCCTTCGCCAACCCGTATTCTTTCTTCCCTGCTCTAATTGCTTTGGTCGCGTATTACGCAAACGGTGATAGACTGCAAAGTATAGAGACATTGCTTGCAGAGGATATTATTTTGTTTTAGAACTAGTTGTGATACAATGACTCATACTTCCTCGCAATATTCGTAACAAGAAAATTTGGATAATTCAGAGTTCAACTAAGACATGCGTACAACTTTTATGCGTCCATTCTCTGTCTCTCTCTCTCCTTTCCTCTCTCTCTCTTCCTCTCTCTCTTCCTCTCTCTCTTCCTCTCTCTCCCCCTCTCTCTCCCCCTCTCTCTAAAATAATATCTTTATTAGCGTGTTCTAAGACCAAAGTGGAAAATTTGTAAGATAGTTCAGTTGAGTATACGGAGGGAAACCGGTCATGCCCTGCATAATGCCCCAATCCTCTCGAAGAAACCCATTAGCTCCTTAAACCTTGCCAAAGAAGGTGTATTCACTACCGAGCCAATGTGGTCGAGATCCATCCATTCAATTATGCCAGTAGCAAAGTTAACACTTGCGTGCTGAGATTGTTATCGTATGCAGTATGAATAAATGGCTCGTTGGAGTACATTCTACTTCTAGGATGTGCTATTTGGAGACTATACACACCATTTATTGCTACTCCCGTTAATTTCTGGTACTCTGCGAGAAAGCGCTGAAAACAGGAATCGGATTTCCTTAGCGCGCACCTTTTGCCACGAGTCACCCCAATAATGGCTTGTGCCCGCCTACATAAGTGTTATTCGTCAGTCAGCGTTTAAGCTTCTTGAGCGAGCAGTGCTTCATGAAAACGCCAAGTTGGACCCGAGTAAATGGACTGCTGCTCCTCCGCCCTTACACACAATACTGCTCGTTTTAACTATATCCACCGTATCCCCTACATCTGCCGAGTTCACGTCCCCGTTCCTCACGTTGGGGGGCCAGCCCCCAGACTCGATGCCCTCCCCCCGCTCTCCGCAACGCGGGATGCTTTCTGGAGTTTCCCCGCACGATAGCGACACAAAAAAGTTACTTTGGACGAACGAGGTGATAGGGGGTCCCGGCGCTCTTAAATGGGCGAAACTAAACGCAAATTAATCTGACCATAGTATTTGATTATAATATTACAAAGGTTTCCACGGAGCACAGGCGGCTCAGTAGCCAGAAGGCGAAGTGGTAAATGGACCATATTGGGCTCCCGCTCCGGCCGCTCCCGGCCTCAGAGTTGGTTGTGAAGAGCGGGCCAGAGGTGAAATTTTATATCCAAAAAGACGGAAACCGCGGCCGAACCCCGGGTCTGCGATGGAGAAATTTCTCCCTCGATCGGTCGCGAAAGCGTTCTGACCGGAGGGATGCTGCTGGGCTTGAAGCCCGAGACCTACCGTACCCGCGCCGGAGGAAATGAGAGGGAACCTAGGCGAGCGCGCCCCCTTTGTAGGTGGAATCCGCGCGACCCGGGCTGGTTTCGGCGACGAGCGCAGGAGGATTGTCGTTATGCGGGCACGAAGCATGAATGGTCCTGCTGAACTGTTTCTCTCTAATAGGTGTGTTGATAGGATGGAGTGGCGGAAATGGCATAGACGGAGGGAAATACACAGATGAAAGGGTAGGTTGAGTTAAGGAGCAAGGAAAAATTTAGAGGGAGTTAGGGAAAGATGGGGTGAAGTAGGGAGGACCGCGGTGAGACGAAGGGGCGAGAGAAGAGGGGAGAGAGAGGGAGAGAGAGTGAGGCAGCGAAGACGAGAGGCCCAACGCAGAGAGGGTAATTTGCTGCATCGTGACGAAGAAGAGGTGCCATCAGGAGAGAAAGAATGTCCAAGAAGTTTGGAGTATGTACGATGACTGAAGTTGTTTTGAACCTCTAGCTTCATGGGACAAATTCAACCACGTTGTCTGGAATGGGAAACGTAGGAGAACGACCAGGCCGAACTCCTACGAGGAATTACGCAGCAGCCCGAAGTGGATCATAGCGAAAGAAGTATCATAAGCAGGAGAAAGAAGAACGAAAAAGAGGTATGGGAGCGTAGACGTGAGCGTCTCCAGACGATGAGAGAGTGGACCCCACACAACACATTCACAATCTTGCCTACTACTCTAATAATTACACTATCGGCTACGTCTCAGTCGGGGCGTCAAGATGCCCCGTTACTGAGGTATGTCTGGACGAGAAAAAAAGGTACTTGAAATAGCGAGTTTTAAATGGAAAATAAGGATATAAGACGACAGAGAGATGAGGAGTTATTAATGAAGCAAACTGGGTCTTAGTCCAAAAGGTGTAAATGAGGAACATTATACCATAAACCTGAGCGGCCCGGAGAGTTGTTGTGGAGCGACCGAGGAATTCAGAAAGAGAACGCCAGATGCTTCCAGGAGGAGGTGATATGTCTCGAAAGACCCATCAAGTCGGCATGTCCCGCGATTGAAACTTGTACCTGTGCAAGCGTTCTGTCTAGACTTTCATTGCATACGCCTAACTCTTGCGGGGAAGACTTACGCTGGAGTCATCGATGTATATATCGGACAAACTCAGTTGCTTACAAGAGAAGAACAGAGAATATAGTAAGATCACTTCTGCATAAGGCAGATGACGCTGCGGAGAGGGGCGTATGAACATGTGCGAGGTGCTAGTCAGAGCGATTTGCAGAGGTGAGAGTGAACACGAGCGACCAGAAGAGAGCAAAGATGAGAGCGAAGAGGAGAAGGAAAAAGAGTAGATACGGAGTGTAGGAGGTCATCGTACACTGACATGGTTTCGCTCGGGAGCGCAGTACGAGGCTGCACGTGATGAGGTTGATGGCTGAGAGGGAGAAGACGATGAGCGGAGAGAAGACCCGTATGCATGTCGGCGTGTGTAGACGTTACCGAGTCTGCTCTAATTGCTGTAGGGATGCAGCGGTTAGATATGAACGCGCGAAGAGAACGGTTGGAATGACTGGGCAAGAAGAGGAGAGAATGATGAAGAGAGTTAGCATTGCCGAGGAGGAAGAGGAGAATACTGAATGGTTATAGTGAGATGATGAGAAAGCCCTGAGCATGTGATACAAGACCTATACTTAAGAATATTGGTACCGCGAACCCTCAAAGAATAATGTATCTGGCATATTTCGATGTTCCTATACCTAGATATGTAGACATTCTGCGGAGAGTGTGATCTCAAAATCAATCCTTCTTTTTAGCGGACAGTACCTTGCCTTCGTTCAGGTCGTACACACACCGTTATCGTGCCAGTCCTCTGTACTTCTCTCTCCGAACTTACGCGCGTGCTTCCTTACATATCACAAAAAATCCTTCTCTCTTCTCTCTGCATCCGCTACTTGTCTCTCTCATTCTTGCACCGCCTCTTCTCTCCCCATCTCCACCCCCCTCTCTGCGTGCTTCCCTCCATCCGTCTCTTCACACCCACTTCTCTCGCGCCTACACCTCAACCACGACGTCACTCATCTCCCCCTCTCTCTGC